GGGCCAATAGATCATCGACGCACATTCCATTATCCGCAATACAAAATATGTCGTCTACATATCAGCCGTAATAAACTAAGCTGTTGATGGGTTCGTGCAGCTGGTTGCACTCCAATTTGCTCATGAAGACGTCCGCGAGCAACGGTCCTAATGGTGAACCCATTGCCATCCCATCTATTTGTAGATATAGCGTTCCACTAAACTGAAACTGAATGTTTCTCGTGCACATGAGTAGCAGTTGTCTCAGCCGGTCTGGTGGGATACCAATGTTGATGTTGCGCAGCTGGATAAACTCACAGCTGAATGACCTCACAGATAGTCTACAGTCTCCTCCAATAGAACATTGGTAAAAAGAGACACCACATGTAGGGAAAACATCTGTCGCCCAGCTAGCTCGATTTGTCTCACTGAGTCAAGAAAAGCAAACGTGTCCTTAAGACTGTATCTAGCTATAGCTTTCCTGACTGGTTCCAGCCGTTTGACGAGCCACTTGGCAGTTGAATGGTACGGTGAGTTACACATATCCAGTATCGGTCTTAGTGGTAGCCCTTCCTTGTGTACTTTGGGCAGACCATACAATCTTGGAATCACTGTGCCAAACAATCAAACACTTCAATAAGGCAACTGAAAGGTTGCTGCCAAAAACCAACTGGTAGACCTCAGCATTGCTCATCCGGTGTTTCCACAAAACGTGAGTAGTGCTCCGCAAGCTCCGGTGGTCAAATACGGAAAAGCGCTTAATGTCTTTACAGTGAACTGGACAAGGCTCTGATCCATACAGCAATACCGATCTTAGAGTTATATACCCTACCTTTCACTGACAGACTGATATCGCGCCGTCTCCACAGATGGCTGTCTTGCTAATACGCGAAATAACCACGTCAGTGAAGTGACCACCAGAGGTAATACAGCTACCAAGCTAAGTGAACCAACCCACCACTAAGAGTAGCTGTTCGGAACTAACTAAAACCCGAGGTGTCGGTCCAGTCCTGCAACAGCACTTTGAAGGTGCAAATCATATAACGAAGCGTGCAACGCTACGCACAAGTCTGTGCGGTAGAGTTTGCATATCCAATGCATCAGACCCTAGGAGAACTATGTCGTCCACATACTCCAGGTATGTCAGCTAGCCGCCTGGCAAAACTTGCCCTCCAGAACAGTGTGAAAGAAACGAGTCCTTCACGATTATTGCGATCACAACGTCGAAGAAGAAAGGAGATATAGGACAACGCTGGCGAATCCCACTTGTCGTGGGGAACTCAGGAAACAGTTTCCCGTAGACCCTTACCTGACCTCGGAAATCACAGTAGAGGGACTTCCGAATTGAAAGCAGTTTAGCTGGCAGGCCCTTCATGGATAGGCAGTGCCACAAGCTGGCGCGGTCAACAGAGTAGAAGGCGGTTCTCAAGTCAAGTAAAATCACCATAGTCGATCGTCTATATGTGTCTCTGTTCTAAAACTCGGCAGAGTAAATATGTGGAAGATGCAACCCCGACCAGGGTGGAAACCAGCTTGGCCTTCAGTGATTCGGTCCTCACGGGGACCAGTAATTCGCCGAAGAATGATATCTGTGATGTTTTCAGGCAATGGAAATAAGGTTGATACCTCGACGATTTTCGCACAGAGTACGCTGACTCCTCTTGAAGATGGGCACCACAGTTGACAGTCGCCAGTCTGAAGTAACCTTTTCAGTGCTCCAAATCGTGTTAAAAAGAAAGTTCAGTCAACAAATGGTCACCACCATCTTTCAGCAAAATGGAGGGTCATCGAGTCCAGGAGCTTGGTTCGTTTCAAAACGTCGAGGTTATGACGAGTCTCTTACAAAGTGGGAAGTGTCACATTTACCTCCCACGTTAGCTCAAGTGATTCGGCAAGCGGTAGTGCCGCAGCAGGCCAGCTGAACTGCTTCGCAATATGTTCCGCCCAACGGGCTAGTCGACGACGCTGAAAATGGATCAACAGTCCATCGTTTTCAGCTATCGTCTCGCTAACTGATGGCTTTTTCGGACCAGTGTTTCGTATGAGCTGGAATAGCACCCGCCTGTTTCCAATAGTGCTGGATTTCTCCATCAGATGGGCCTCAGCAGCAAACCAAGACTCCCGGTCAACTGGAAGACTCTTTGGCAGACGTGGATTTAGGGTCACGGATAGGCTGAAATTCAGTGACCATCGGACACCGTTTACGCGCTTTCATCGAACTGATCGATGCCTCAGAGATCCAGTCACAGTTACGTCTCAAGTTGGGTGCACAGCAAGTATCAAAGGCATCCTTCATATCACACCTGAAACAATCCCAGTCAGCGTTCGACTCAACAACCTCATTCATCACTGACAATTAGCGAGCAGTTCGTAATGATATTGTTGAACCGTAAACTGCGAGTTCAAGTTACAGATAAGAAGGTTAGAAGATAGACGCTTCTTAGAAGTGGAGAGAGTGAGCGCCAAGTGTGCACGCGATAGAGCATGATCGGAATCCAGGCACATGCATCAAATTGACAGGAAGTTTTGGACTGATGTGCGCCATTCGTAGCTGATGGCAATATGGTCAATTTGGGTCCAGGTCATGGAGGGATTCGGTGGGCACCAGGTGACGCGGTGTGAACGTTTGTGCTGGAAAGCAGTGATGCTGAGGTAAAGGTTGTGATTGGCACACGGTTGCAGGAATCCATAACCATTGTCTGTTCGGCGTGCATCAACTCCGAAACGCCCTCCCAGTTGTTGTTCAGTAGCTTAAAAACGACCCAAATGGGCATCCAAGTTAGCAGCAACAACCTCGATGCCAGTATTGTTCGCCATACAAAGATGAGATGTAATGTAGTTGAGATCATTTGTAGTACACTCTGAACTGCATTCAGTATGGGCAAAAACTGAGGCAATGAAAAGGCACCTTGGCTGCGGACGCTGCTCATTAACTCCAATAGTCGTCCGAAGTCGAAGTGCACACATGCGACTGTTCACCGGTATCGTCGATCAGATTGCCTTCATGTTTGCTAAGGGCAATATCAACACCGTAAATACTTTGACTCGGTAATACCAGAGACGCGAAGAGTGTAGTCATTGTCGTCAGATTCAGAACCAGGGAGTCGAAGATCTGTCACAACGCTGTTATCTTGTATGTGTGTTTCGGAGACACAGCACACATCAATACCAACAGAATGAAGAGTGAGTCAGTGCTGCTTGTTGACTGATCGGACCCAAAGTGCGGACATTCAGGAACCAATTTGTAATGAGACCCGTGGTTTGATGGATGAGTTACGAGTATCGATGGCAGAAGTAGCGAGGTCAGAGGCGAATTCTTGGTCGGTAGAGGGTAAGAAGGCAATTGAGAGGAGAGAGAAAATAAGGAAAAGAAGAGGGAGAATTTTCGAGGTGGTCGAGAGAGCAGATGAGACTCACCGGCTGTCCATTCCTAGAGAGGGTTTTGTTTGAGGTATCCTACCTCTAGCCCTTGACTCAACAGTCTGATCCACAAGGCAGTTAGGGATTTGCAGGTTCGCTTGAGGGACTCCACCCGGAGCCTTTGACTCAAGAGCCTGACCCACAAGGCAGTAGGGAGCAAGTCCAGCTCGGAAGTGTGATTGCAGATTCCCAAAGGGATCTGCTCGAGGCCTGTCACACATAGTCTGAAGATTTAGGACATCACACATATACTTTGCGACCGTAGTACGTTACGCATCTGCGACAAGGACCAGCCTCAGGTGGGAGTTGACAGGTTTGCACCAATTTGGCCAGGAGCTGCTTGACTTGAAATGAGCGATAACAAACAATTGAGCACCCGAAGATGCCGTCTCACCGTCAGAGACAATGTGTGGCGCCCATACTCCATGCCAATCGAGCTATGACGTTATAACTCGTAAAACTGTTGTCTCCCATGGCTAGGTTTTAAAGGAAGAGGGCCATCGGTTTGTCCCTAACCTCTCAAGATGATTGGATGGTGAGACTGAGTTATTCTAACCCCTAACCATTGAGCTGTCTGGTATGAGTGGCTCTGCATAGACTTGGAAGTGCCACCCAGCATGGCTCAATGGGTCACGGGAGTACGCCAACCATCGCACCACGTCCAGTCTCGTTGCGATGGATGTGATAATTCCGTTACAAGGCAATGCAAACCCTAAATCTCTCTTTGCAAGTGAAGACTGAGAGGAAAGCCACTGAGTCCCCCTAGCATCTTAACTAATCTTCAACACACAACACATCTTGCTCGATCAGATTTAACCACCTCACCCTGCCTTAACTCATCCCCTGTGTATACTCCCTCATCCAATTGAAACTTTGAAGACTCAAGAGGAGTCACATACATGTATTGAGCCAAAGGTACTTGTTTTTTATCGTCCAACTACTATCGCTCCATGTATAAGGGTTTTGCAACCCACAAATAAATTGCCCCGTACTAGTCTAGTCTATTATGCTAGTCATCGTCCATGATTGTGTATTACCCGCCTGATTTTGGCTGAGGGCTAGAACTGTTTCGTCCCCTCTCATGGACCCATTATCATCATGGTCCCCCCCGATTTGCATCGGAACCAAACAAGTGACAATGCCCGTGAACTGGTAGAAGGAAGATTTGTACAGCAACGGTCCTATTGCATCCCTGCATAAACCCCAACCATCGACAGTCCTGCACGCGTGAGGATGTAGATATAAATACGATCCGCCCCTTGGTGAACACGGTTTTTACCATGCTGAGAGAAATATACATTTGCAATTTCATTCAAGCGTTCGGGTGATAAAGCGTTTAAGCAAAGGACATCACGACCGTACACATACATCGAATGACAAGCTGTGATGATGGGGGCCGAAACAAGTTCACGGAGCTGAAGCCACATACGATGGGCACACATAGAATTAGGAGAACCTATCGCATGCGCAACAGGAGTGCGGGTGGGACTGCAAGGATGGCTAGCCAAACACAATGGATGCGGCAATAGCCCAAGTGAAAACAATCATGAGTAGCATTTTCGTTGGACAGAATGGAAAAACGATGTGTAACCGATCCTGACCTCCAAGACAGTCGCTTTGATGGATGACGGACGCTTTCGAGAACTGGAAGCATTTTTCATGTTCCTGTAAGGGATAGGAATAAATCATGGACTTAATTAAAAGGAGGCATGATTTCCACCAGTTGTCGTGCAAAAATGTTGGGACCACACGCGAATACTCAGTTCAATCCAAACTGTCGCAACAAAGATGCTCAAGTCATTACTTGTTTGGCGAATAGCGAATTACAGAATTGATACCAAAATCGATAAGATAACCTAGTGGTATATAATGACTAAAAATTAGGAGCGCATAAACAATGACCCAAGGCTTGGTGACCTTAGTGGGTTGAAGCGACAAAACAGTTAGAATAAATTAGGGTCACGCAACCACACGGAGATAGTTGGGCGATAGGAGTGGTACCAAAAGCTTATAAGAAATATGTCGGATAAAAAGTTATTGTGTAAGTCCGGTAAGTAAGTCCGGTAAAAGTAAAGCCCAGTGTGAGAAGCAGCACATACGAGAAGTCATATAACGCTAGCTAACAAGAGGGGAGGAACGGTGTGCGCCCGTGAGAAAAGTAGGATAAATGAAGTTGGATATTATTAGTACAATCACGAAATGCCGGTTGGATTCGCAGTAACAGTAACTCCCATCCCATCCTAGGCGACGGTATAGAAAAAACAGCCGAGTGGCATCAGCTTCATCCAATGCAACCATGCTAACCGTGTTTGAGAAAGGGCTGCACGCCGCCAGGCTCGAGTAGTGTAACAGAAGAGATAGACCCAGAGGCGGTTTACTGCGCAAGGAGGATGTAATAGGGTATTGCAAGAAAGGCAAACTCAGTACTATGAAACCAATGGTTGCCACTAAAGTATAAGCAGGACTGATCTCCATTACACAAACGTAGTAGACTGACGTAGCGAAACAGTCGACGGAATTTAGCGAGTAATTGTATTTCTCAAGTTGTATAGTCAAATAAGGAAATTGCATTCGAGGATTTCTGTCGTTTTCGATCCGTTCCTCTCTGTCTTCAAGTATATCGATGTCAGGTCGAATGACAGAACCATTGGCGAGTCTCATCACTTTGTACCGGGTGGTAAAAAGAAACACCCCAGCGAAAAGCGATGAGGATAGAAAATAGCGGTCCTAATTGGAGGGTGAACGGTGCCAACCCTGCGGCGGAAGTGGCTGGGGAAAAGAAAGGCAGGAGTTTTCAAAGACTAAATAGATCGCGTATCCTCTGGAACAAGAAGCATCACAAGTGGTGGTGGTGGTGGTGGTGGTGGTGGTGGTGGTCTTCGTCCAGGTAATTCAATTAGGATACACACGAAATGCTTGTCCGCTAGATGAAGACAGGTAATTCCGGCTTACCACGCTGAAAAACTGCGGAAAAACACGGCCTTTACCCAATTCGATCGCGTGCAAGCTCCGACATTGACCTGGTTAACAGTGACAGTTGCACTCTTCTAAACACTGGTTTTATCCCCTTTCTAACGACCTCAGTAGTCTATCCAATTGAGATAACTTGTATATAATTGCACTAACCTGAAGAGGAATTATCAAAAACATGTTCCCTAACAATTAATTGGTTATCTGATGGGCTTCTTTAGAATATGGAACAGATTGTAAACCGAACAAACACATGAGTACGCGAATTCGGGGACTATTCGTAAAAATCAGCGATCATTTTGTAAGATAGATACGAAGTAAAAACGATAAGGCGCCTCAAGAAAATATTTAGGTGGGTAGGTAATACTCTGCCTCCAGTTAAACTGTAAGAAATTTGGGAGGAACAGATCGCGCAGCAGCGATATCTACCAAGGTGCTTCAGCAAAGCGGATGGGTGGGAAGTCGGGTGCATGCAAAACTCGCGGCTCTGTCTTTAGTGATGTCAAAGGAATGTGTGATGAACAGATAGAAGCGTTATAGTGCGAAACTCACTTTTTACGATTTGTCAATCGCTCATTCTTCAACATGGACGCTGAATCCGCTTGAACCTTGAGCGTTCGTAACCTAGTCTGGTGCAATCACTAAGCAACGATGACTCACTTTAGTATTCGGCTTTGCTCTACGTCTTTAACCAAGCCTTCACGAGCGTTCTGGAAGCTTTCATCATCTGCGACAGCGCGGAGACCACTGAGAACAGGGCCGATAAATAACGCGCTAGACATACGTTGAAAATAGGCGAAAAAGTAGAATTACCATATAAGTACAAATAGAGAGCGGTGGCGGAAATATAAAGACAAGCAACATACACCCAAAAGTAAAGAAAGCGAAAGGCTCCCGCGGCCTTCTAGGCAACCGCTAGATTCATGCTAACGATCAGCGGCAACGAAACAGTGAAGCATTCAGTTTCCGTATGTTCGTTCGGATGAACAAAAACAACTAGGAGTGCGAGCAGAAAGCCAACGGATATCATGAGGTCCGAATAGTAGTAGAAAAGAACTGGATTGCCCTGTACACCGTACATAGTGGCACCTGGGGAGTGATAGCTTAAATATCCAATTCAATTGCCATGATTAAAGAACAATGGCATACGCCCGTAAAGGGCGTGGACTACTTAGATGGTGGTAGTTCGAAATGGCGGTCAGACCTGAGAGACAGGTGAGTAGCATGAGGCAGTATTTCAAGGCAGTGAGTTTACAACGGTATTAGTTAATTAGGGACAAAGTCTGATATCCCAGCAGGAATAAGGGCTCAGAAAAAATGTCAACAGTATACTGAAAGGAAGTGCTTAGAGTTGAAAGTAGAAAGAAGCCGGTTAGCGACTGCAGTTCATTTGGATGGATTCCTCAAATAGGGATACGGGAAGTCAGAAAGGAGTGGACGAGAAAGTCTGTTGAGCAACAGCAGCTTTAAACCGATTAACGATAATCGACTGTTATTTTGATGTGTTTCCAAACGAACACTATTGCGATAAATGCAAACAACTGTTCACCAGGTTGAATGTGCAAATCACAGTCGAATAAACCCCTATGAAGGTAAACACAGAAAGGGGTACAAAACCTATGGAACTGTGATGCAGATGTTTGCCGACGTAGGAGTCTTCCACCAGCATTTTGATTCCGATAAAGGTAGTAAAACCACTGTCGTAAACCGAGAAAAATTGCGAAGTATATGAGAGACTAAGTGAGAGGATTCATGTTAGCAAGACAGAGGGAAAAACAAGACAATACGATTCAATCCAACGAAAAACAAAATGAGACTTAGAAACGAAATCAAAACGGATACGTATAGCAATGAAATGAAATACGATACCGCGGATTACCTAAAGGAGTTGTGTAAGATTCACCACGGCAAAAGCACCCATTTCAAGGCGCATTATATATATATATATATATATATATATATATATATATATGTGGTACGGCGGCCTCCGTATCCTGATTTGCCTCTCATTGTGACCTCCAAGGGGACAGCCACAGTACGCCTACGCCTACAGAGGGACCATGGATGGCTTGCGCTGCACCACCCACAGCTCCAACCACACACCCCATATCCAGTGTAAACCCGAAGGAATAAGACCGGGAGGCATGCGGATGGGAACCACGTTTCATCAACGGAGCCGGCCCACACTCCTCACAGGCAAACACAAGCACACTGTATTTGGGGAATCAAGCGCACACAAGGCGGTGGCTGGATCGTAGTCCGCTCCACACTGAGTGCATGGAACCACTCTTTGATCCTAGCACGGCCACAAGGACCGTGCACCCTGTCCCCTCCAGCAACGACCAACTGTCTCCTGGAGCCAGTATGGACGAGGTAGTGGGTAATAGACAGGTAGGCACCTTGTCAACATGCACATCAAGCGCATCCACACCGGGGATATAGATATATATATATATATATGCACTCTTCTAAACACTAGTTTTATCCCCTTTCTAACGACCTCAGTAGTCTATCCAATTAAGATAAGTTGTATATAATTGCACTAACCTGAAGAGGGATTGTCAAAAACATGTTCCCTAACAATTAATTGATTATCTGATGGGCTTCTTTAGAATATGGAACAGATTGTAAACCGAACAAACCCATGAGTACGCGGATTCGGGGACTATTCGTAAAAATCAGCGATCATTTTGTAAGATAGAAACGAAGTAAAAACGATAAGGCGCCTCCAGAAAAACTTGACTGCGGCACTCTAATCTGCTATTTCTTCGTTTCGCTGAGGCTATAGCGAGTAGCCGAATGCAGCCTATGCTGTGCGTGCATAAAAAGCTCTTCGTCAATCTCAAGCTTCCCTGTACAGACAGACCGAATCGTTTTCGCTCATATGTATCCCCAAGTTTGTTTCTTCCTTTTTTGATCAATCCACCATTTGCTTTTGTTCCTCATCGGTTGTTGTTATTGGCACTGAAGAGACAACATGAAATGCTTGCATCTACCAAATGTCGTCTACTTGCTATGCTTTACATAATCAAAGTGTTCATTTTCTGGAACATATAGGTCTATCGCCAAAAACCGAGCAAGAAAATATAGAAGCATGCACATTGCCTAACGGAATTAGACTGTGGATGCGACGGCGATTTTTCCACCGAACACCACTACTCCAATTCGTTTCCTCATTGAAACATCAGGCCGCCTATCACAATACTTAACGTAACAGCACAGCTCCGATAACACGATTCCTAGTTCTTTCTATTTTACCCTGCTAACAGTTCTGAGGCGAAGGCACAGCTGATATGGGAACAACCCGCCCTTTTGAGACGGAAAAGACGCGTTCCTTCCCACAGCACAGCCTGCCAAGTAGAACGCCACTGTTTGCACAATGAAGATGAACATCTAGCCGAATTCGCACTGTCAATCCTTGCTTCGCACTTCAGGGACATTTCCCCTGCGTCACTGAGTGAGTGACTAGCTGGTTGCTCGCCAAGTACTTGAGCCTACTGTGCCCAAAATAGCAACGGACTTATTTGACTCACAACGACGGCAATGTTAGCAATCATCACCATCTCTTCGAGTAGACCAGGGGTCACCAAACTATGATCCACGACGTCAGCTCACCCGGCCAGTTGAATGTACCCAAAGTTGCTTACCAAAGTGTATAGAAGACAAGACGTCGTAATATCATCTGCATTTGACACTGAATGTCGTATATTCAGTGAGTTTACGATGTCTGAAAACTACCGTGAGGCAGATCACGGCTGTTACGTGAGACACAGTACTGTCAATGAGCTCACATCGTTCGAAGATCGATGCAAGTGATCAAGCATGGAGCCCATTCCGCCGTGCACTCTAGCGTGTTTGCGTTTGTCTCGGCATATCAGGTACTTTGGTGTATGTGGCATACAGAACACCGCGCACGAGGATGCCGTTAGATAGAGCATGTAATTTCGAAGCCATATATTCCGGTTATTTAGATCGAATTGCATGTTGCTGATACGGAAGTGAGTTGGAAGCGCAAACAGTCGAAGTTCAAAAATTCTGGCAGTGCCAGTCGCATGCAAGTTGTAGCATTATCCAGTTCCAGCTTAGCTTGGCGATATGAATCTGGTGGAAATACACTGCTTAAGTATTCCAAGCGCTTTGACGCCTGCATGCGGAAGAGTCCGTGGCTTGCTAAGGCTTGTGATGGTGAGAGCAGGACAGGTCGTCAAACCGTTGCTGCTAACGTTGTGCTGTGAACTAATGCCCTGGACGCCTCGTGGCGACCGCTGGGTAGGAGTTGGGTTACATCATACTTCTAGCTGAAAACCAGGACACAATTCCGCGTTAGTCGTCTCAATGACTAACGGCGCACGGTCAGCAACCTTGTAAGTGTGCATTTTATCGAAGGCGTTGGCTGAGGACCCGAATCGTTCTTCTGTCAGGTGAGGAAGCCTAGTTAGTATCCTAGTCCAACCTCTAAACATGGGTTACTTCAATACTAATAATCCCATGCTGCATCGGCCGTCGCGTGCGGCACTATGGAAAGGATCGCCTTATCTGCTGTATACAGGGAGGTGGATAAGCGAAAATACGCTATCACTGACGCCTTCCTTCTTTCTTCTTCCTTTCCGCATACTCTCCCAGTCCCTTTCTCAACTAACTCGCTAGTTCCTCCAACACAGGTCACCACACGAGCGATTGCCCGACACCGCAATCGTATGCGTTAGCGCAAAGCGCTCAACATCGAGTCCTGGAACGTGCGCACACTACTGGACAGGCACCCGAGTGATCGACATGAGCGACGAAGAACTTTGGTTGAGATAGAACTAGCGCGCTACGGCATCGACATCGACACCCTCAGTGAGACTCGGATAGAGAACCAAGGTAAGCTGTATGAGGCTGGTGCTGATTAGAAGTTTTACTAAGTGGGGAACGTCACCTCAGCACTACGTGAACATGGGGTCAAATTTGCACTATCTGACCGCCTAAATAGCCAGCTGGTGGCAGATCCAACTGGTACCAGCCCACGACTGAGGTAAATTTGCGTTAGCACGTATGTTACGATGTCACGAGGGACCAGTTTTACACTCAGTTATCCTCCAAGATACAGTCTGTGCCGAGATGTGACCAGCTATTCTTACTGGATGATTTCAATACGCGAGTGCGCGTAATGCAGCATTATAGATAGATGTTATGGGTGTGTAGGGTATTTGTGAGGCCAATGGAACGGTGACCGGCTGCCTTCACTGTGCGCTACACACGGCCTGAAGATCACTCCGGTTTGCACAGTGCGAGTAACATACCTACGTGGAGGCACCAATGGAGTGGTCACCCTCACTTGCTCGACGGTCATCGTACACCAGCGTGACATGCGGGAAGTGTGCATGACATGTACACTGAGTGAAGTTGAGCGTGGAACCGATCACAAGTTGGTGCGGACCAAATTGCACATAGATTTTTGTAAATCTGTGTGTTGTTCACTTACCGTGAACTGGTGCAAATTTAATGTTCGTTCCTAAGTACTGTGGAGAAAAGGAAGTGGAGAATGCGATGACTACCCGCATGGGTAATCTCGAATCAATAGCCTCAGTGAGCAATCTGTGGTGCAACATCTGAAAACAGGTGACGGCTGCTGCCAAGCAAACCACCGAGCGCAAAAAACTGTAAGCAGGTCGATTGGTTTGATGACAACAATGCGACCATAGGAGCATTGGTGCCGGATAACAATGCAGCATTTGCTGCGCATGTGGCGGACCCTGCTAAGCGCAAGGCGAGTCATTTCCGCGAATTTCAAC